AGGTAAGTTGGATGTTGAAGAAGAGGGATTCCCGTAGAGACTGGGGCCCCAAGGAAAGCTAAGGGCACCTTCGCCGCTAAGTGCGGACCTATAGCGACGTGTTGAAGCTCTACCCGTCTCTCTGGGCGCTTCGTGCATCTGTCCTCCTCCGATGGCTGCTGGTCATGACGTTGGACTCCAGCCACTTTAGCAGAGAGGCAGAGCCGAGGGTTCACGTTGATGACGCCAGCATCGGTCCGATTTGTCTAGCGCGGAGATCAAAGCAGAAAGCAAAGGTCCCGTTACTTTTTGGGTTCTGGACTGTTTCGCTTGCTTTTTTATGCGCTACAACACAATTTGGCACTCTTACTTTTAAATTCTGGTAGCGATAAATTTATCCCTTCTGCTTTGGATTTCGGTTACATAATGAATGGGCGGAAGTGGTGTTGTGGCAAGGTGCGACCCTCACCATATATGCGGTTCAGAGATCGAGTTCCGAATTGAATCCCGACAAGATTCATCATCATTCTACTACTCTGGGACTGTTCAGTTCGTACGTGACTAATTTGGAAGAGTGTCAACACCGAATTATAAGCCAGCCGATCACGCAAATCAATGTTCAGGACATTCAAAGGCTACTGTAATTTCGAATCCTTCCTCATGTGGTTCTATTCCCGCAGAAACAAACTGGTGCACCTCCCTTGGGGCACCCTTCCCCACCAAGATGGGGTTACTATTGATGAAATGAATAACCACGTTCTCAACACCCTATCCGCCCCCGCGCCCCCTCCCAACTACACTTACGCCTAGATGTTTGCCTGTTAAAAATTGCATAATTTATGAAGGCAGTATAACCCTAAATGCATGGGATTTTGAAAATGAAGAAAAGTGCTGTTTTACAGGCACTCGATACCCCATCTGTCCATAACCGTTTCTGCGCAACAACCGAATGTGAGTTTGACCATTCTTCCAGCCTTCTACAGTGACATGGTTATGATCCAAATGGAAACAAAATAATTGAATTTTTTTTTCCAAATTTTCCACTTCTGCATTAGTACAAAGAACGAAGATCACGACTACTAATCTTAGGAGACAGAGAAACCAGTTGTATGAAAAGCCACCTTTCAGTTACACCTTTCAGTTCAACCTACTGCTCACGCTGGAAACTCGTCCTCATTTAGTTTACAGGAGAAGTTCCGAACGCAAAGCGAGGAAGGAGGAGAGAAGGTTCGCCGTTTTTGTTTTCTCGAATTCATATCAGGTTGTTCAATAAGTTCTCGCAGTTTCCTGTTTTCCAATACTAGAAGAATTAGGTTACTTAACAAGAGTCGAGTTCAATCTATCCGCTTGACTGGTCACGGAGTTCTAGGGTTTCAGCGAAGGTCGCTTTAGCATTATGTTGAAATTAAAAAGCCTAGCTATTCGAAAGATTTAAAAGGAAAAATTGGAAGGGAAGAGATGGGATGAGTTGAATGTTGCATCCAGATTCCTCAGGAGGTCAGTAAAAGGACATAAGACTGGGAGTAAGGTGATGAATACACCCGTTAAAAGTGAAAGTGAAGGTGGACAGGCAGATGAATCCCGCTCTGAAATCGCGGAGCTTAGCGACAGTTCACTAGCAAACAGACGTTGTCCGCTATGGAACTTAAAACCATCCTACACCTGCAAGCGTCCATCCCCCCACTCCCCGAGCGCAGCAACGCACTGTGCAATGCAAAACCACCACAAGGAAGTTGCCTAACAGTGATTACATACGAAAATTGTATATAAAAGAGTAGGATACTCATAAGGATTGCAAAACATCTGTAGCTGGGGAACTGATACACACGCGAGCGGTCACACAGTCACGACGGAAAAGACCCCTGACCCCAATCCGAAGCACAGGACGTGGTTAGGCTCTCATGGCTAAGATGACTGTGCAAATAAGTGAAATGCTCCCGGGACAAGGAAGGAGCTATAACACGATCAATAAGTGGAACACTGCGGGGGACAGCTGATCACCTTATTGGCAGAAAGTTATCAATATTATCGATAGCTCCAGTGGCTTTCTTGCTGCCCACACTCAACACCTTCCAACGTACCCCTTTCTTCCCTGCGCTCTGCGCATGGCAGGGACGGAAGGACGCTCAATGCGACCAATGCATGACGTGCAGAGAAAGGGGGAAGTGCATGGGGATTGAAGAGACGCAGATAGCGGCGGCGACTAAAATGTACTCAGGGGTACATATTAGTCGCCCTCTGCATGAGCTACTGCGCTCTGCAATCTCAACATTCTTTCGCTTTTCTGCTGGTTAAGCAGCCTAGGCCATAGAATGCAGCCGAACACACCTAATACGTTGCCATCATTAACTATGTGGTATACTGGGTCGCCTCTCTAGGAGGTCAGCGGGAATTTACAGCCCTTTCCGCACTGGTTATTTGGAGGTGCGAACTAGGGTACAAGAAGAAGGCTGTCGAGGAAATTTGAAAATACGCCACCCCCCAACGCCACACCCCTCACGCAGGAAATGCGAAATCATGAACAGACCCTCTTTCAAGAGCAGAAAAATGAACAGGTTAGAACATTGTTTAATATTCCCCCCCAAGCTCATAAAAAAGCCCTGCTACCCCACCGCCCACAAAAAAATTCGTTTAAGAAGTACAAAAGTGAAAAAGTCAAAGAATAATCATTATTGATGAGTCCTACCAAACGAGCAAACGAGAAACAGACCAGAAAACGACAAACTAGTCACTAAAAATGGCATACCATGACAACATCTGTTCTTTATTTATTTCCTGACTTACCAAATTCTAGTACTACACAGATTGTGGTTCTCAATTTGCACGTAGCCCTTCAGTTGAAAGAAGCTTTTTAACCGCCTTCGCCAACTGAGTGTTGACTGGACTTTGGCGTTGACCGTGGAGCAGCTTATTTACTATTGAAATTTGAACAAATATTCAAATGATTATAACTTTCTTCAAATATGACGAATTTTCAATCTGAAAGTAGATTTGGAAGTTTTGTGAAGAGCTTTTTCTAAATCAGTATACTGAAAATTACAAAAAAGTTATGAGAAATAACAAATTTAGATCAAATAACGAGGAAAATTCGAGACGAGCACGAGTTTTTACACTTTCCGGAGCAATAACTTGCTTCATTTCCGTCAAATTCAAAAAGTTGATACGTCATACAAAACTAGAAGATTTTCTCTATCAAACGGTCGCTAAAGCAGCTTCATACGTCCAGTACTCAAAAAATGGCCACGTTGAGGATTTTCGCAAAATTAACGAGGAAAATTGTGATGAGTGCGAGTTTTTTTACTTCCTAAAGCCATAACTCCGTTCAAACTCATCCAATCCGAAAAGTAAATACGCCATCATAAACTAGAAGATTTGCTCTATCAAATGCTTACTAGAACTGCTCCAAACGTCCAGTATTAAAAAAACGGCTACGTTGAGGATTTTCGCACGAGTACCGCCGAAAGGTAACTTTATTCGCTAACAACACAAAAACAAATATCGGGCACTAGATTCCCAGCAACGCTGTTATAATTGCTTTTAAGGGCGAATTACATGTTAATAACAGTAAGAAGGACAATCTTTGGAATCACTGCTTTTCTCTTCTAAGAAAAGTGATTGATTAGCGTTTCTCAACTTTAAAGGTTACATGTTTATAAATTTAACCCTGAAGAGTCCGTTAACGCAGTGTTGAATGGTGTACACCTCCCTGTAAATGCGCACGGACACTTTCAGAATTCTCTCGATTGTTCCTGAATTGAGGTTGTTTGTCCAAGGAGCCGTAGTTGAAGCGCGCGCAACAACTAGACCCTTTCTCGGATGCGCCGTGTACCTCACATCCCTTCAGATTCGGGGTCTTACTTGAAAGATGAAATATCTCTTGGAAAGCGTGCGAAATTCAGATTCTTTAACTTGTGTGGTGATAAAACACTGAAGTAATACAAACTAAGAATTACCCGACGCCTCAGAATCACGAAAATTTTGTGTGGGTGAAATATCATTTTCATTGGAAATCCTCTGGCCTGGCATCGACTCATCCTTGATATTTGTCTTCCGACGGTGATGATCCCACTGCATCAAAATGGCTCGATCTCTTCCACCCAGCGGGCCAATACGACCCCCCCCTGCGACGTGTCGAGGATTCCTCAACGC